ATATATATATATATATAGAGATCAGTGTACTCACAAAGTCTACAGCAAGTGAGGAAACGTAGGCACAAGGCCTAACAAAGTACAAAAGCGCTGATGATCACCAGGCGGAAGTGCCTTGGTGAATATATCAGCAGTGTTGGCCCGAGTGGCCACGTAAGCAAGACAAAGCTGACCACGCTGCTGCAACTCTTGAGAAAGGAAGTAACGCCGAGCGATGTGCTTCGTTCTGTGCTCCAGTCTGTGCTCCTGACACAAGACAATGTCGACCTTGTTGTCGACGTACAGAACTGGAGGAGAACGAGGCGGCTCTCCCAAGTTGGTCTGCAGGTAGGTGAGCCAGCGTAACTCCTGTGCAGCCATGGCCCCTACATAGATCTCAGCCTCACAACTGGAGTTGAGAATAGAAGACGAGCGCGTAGACCGCCACGAAACAGAGCCAAAACAAAGACTGAAGGTGTAACCCTGTGACGACCGCTGCGTAGCCACGTCGTCAACCCAAGAAGCGTCCGAGTGCCCAGTGAGGACAACATCGCCCCGTCCTCCAAGCACGAGCCCCATGCCCGATGTACTGCACAAGTAGCGCAGTACCCTCTTAGCAACATCCATGTGCACCTTTCGGTGCCTACCAGGAGCCACGTAGCGAGCTAGAAGGCCAAGAGGGTACGCAAGGTCAGGACGTGTGCAGGTCATCAAGTACATGAGGCAGCCCAGTAGCTCTGGGTAAGGACCACTCAGCTCTACGGACTCGTCAAGGTGGAGCTGAGAGCGAGTGACCTGTAGCCAGAGGAGTGGCCTATGCCGAGGACCAGGTGAAGCCGAAGCGCTGAAGGACCTGCTGCACCATGTGTGACTGAGTCAGTGTGATGGTGCGGCGTGCTCTGTCCCGGGTGATCTGCAAGCCAAAGTAACTGCGCAGCTCACCCTGGTCTGTGCACGTGTGTCTCTTCTGCAGCTCCGACTTCACCAGGGCGAGAGCCTCAGTGTTAGCAGTGGCAAAGACCAAGTCGTCGACGTACACGAGGATGTAGAACGGCGGCAGCGAAGTGTCGGTGCGCAGAAACATCGACGGGTCAGCAGTAGAAGGCGCGAACCCAAGAGCCGCAAGTGTAGTCCTCAGTGTGTCGTGCCACTCACGCGGCGCCTGGCGGAGACCGTAGACTGGCCGCCGGAGGCTCCACTAAGTACCAGGAGGGAACGACCCAGTGAAGTCAGGTGGGCGGCGCTGTCAGATCTCCTCGTGCAGGCTGCCCTGTAAGAAAGATGTGCTCAATTCAAGAGAGTGAAGCTCGTAGTCACGCTGAGCAGCGACGTGCAGCAACACCCGAAGAGTGGTCGTCTTCGGGGTGGTGGAGAAGGTCTGGAAGAAGTCTACTCCCTCCCGCTGACTGAAGCCTCGAGCAACGTAACAGGCCTTGAAGACAGGCGGAGAACCTGGCTGCCGCTTCACCTTGAAAATCCACATGCCACTGACGATGTTCATCCCAGGAGGAGGAACCTCGTCAACGTAAGTGCCAGTGGACTTCCAGGATGCCATAACTGCATCCATGGCTGTTTGCCACTGAGAGGAGTACTCACCCGCGATCGCCTCAGCGTAAGAGCGCGGGGTAGGGATGTCTGGAGCATCCGGGTCTCCTTTAGGGTCAAGCAGCATGGCCACGAGATGAGGTGTAGCGGCTGAAAGACACTCAAGGTCCTCCTGCGTGTCCTCAAGGACGTCAGTGCCAAGAGCACACTCACCCCTGACGGACGGAGGACAGACAGACTCAGACTCAGCAACAAGACTAGCGGCGTAGTCTAGACGACAGGCAGCAGCAAAGTCAACAAGCTCAGCGACTAAGGCAGACGCAGCAGCAGACTCAAACGATGGGTCAGTGAGAACAGTGGCTAGCAAACGCGTGACAGTAGGGTGAGCAGCACGAGCGCTGTCAAACTCAGGGTCTGGAACGACAGGCAGGGAAGACGCAGGAGGGGACGGTAGGGTAACACGCTGCGGAGCAGAGGAAGGACGGAGGGCCATGAGGTGTGTGCCGAGGACTGTCGGCGGACAATCACGAGGAACACGACAACCAGTACGACCAGCGCGGACAGTGCGAACAGGCGAGACAGGACGAGACGCAGGCTCACGACGCTCAGCAAGACCTCCTGGCTGCTCAGTATAAGGAGAAGGAGCAGGCAGCTGTGAGTCAGGCTGTAACGGAAGACCAGTAGAAGACGGGAGGCTAAGAACTTGGCGAAGCACGGAGTCAGGTGATGGTAGAGACGAAGGCGACGGTGGAGCGAAGAGCAGTCGCGGTTGTGCAGTGCCACCAGCACCAGTAGCTCCAGCACCTCCAGTGCCAGCACCTCCAGGACTAGTACCTCCAACAGCTCCAGAACCTTCAGCAACAGCACCACCAGGACCAGCACCGCCAGCACCAGCACCCCCAGAACCGGCACCTCCAGTCCTAGGGTCTCCAGCCTCAGTGTCTCTAACAGCAGCACCCCCAGAACCCGTACCTCCAGCTCCAGGGTTTCCAACCTTAGAGTCTACAGCAGCACCTCCAGGTCGAGCAGTACCACCAGCCCCAGCAGCTCCAGTACCCCCAGTATAAGCACCTCTGGGACCAGCTGCTCCAAGAACTCCAGTAGAAACACCTCCAGTAGCAGAGTCACCAGTACCAGCGCCCCCCGCAGCAGGACCCCCAGCTCCAGCAGCGCAACCTTGACAGCTAATGTACCACTCACGCAGCTGCTGTGGGGAGAGCAGGACAGCGCCAGCTCCAGTGCCTACAACGCCAGCACCTCCCATAGCAGGGCCCCCAGCTCCAGCAGCGCGACCCTGACGGCTAACGTACCACTCGCGCAACTGCTGTGGGGAGAGCGGGACACGACGACGAGAGCGCTGCGGCGAGGCACCAGCAGAGCGACTACGGAGGCGGCCGCTCCAAGGAGACTGCTCACAAGGCGCCAGGCACAGCACCCCCAGACCTAGTACCCTCAGGCTCAGCACCCCCAGACTCAGCACCCCCAGGCTCCGCACCCCCAGGCTCAGCAACCCCAGGCTCCGCACCCCCAGACACAGCACCCCCAGAAGCAGCACCCCGAGCAGGACCACCCCCAGCAGGACCTGAGTCACTTGTGACCTCAACCGACTCAGTCAAGGGAGGAGGGTCTACCTGAGACACACATGAAGGAGCAGAACCGGGAGCGGGGAGGGGGTCTACCTGGGGAGGACCTAGAGCGTAGGGAAACAGACGGTAAAAGGGAACCGACTCGTCAAAGGTGACGTCCTGAGACGCAAAGACACGGCGCGAGGCAGGGTCGTAAAACTGCCAGCCAGGCGCGTCAGGGGGGAAACCAAGGGAGACGCTGGGAATGGCGCAAGGGGAGAGCTTGTCCGCAGTGGTATCGCGGACAAAGGCACGAGCACCCCAGACCCGGAATCGCGACGCATCGCCAACCTCCCCCGTCTAACCTAGTGTGTGCGAAGTCTCCGGAATGGAGACACGGGGCCAGAGGTTGAGCTGATGCGCGGCGTACCGGACCGCAAACGGCCACAGAAAATGGGGGGCAACCGCATGGATCATGGAGGTACGAGCGACCTCCATGACTAAGCCAATGTGGCGCTCAGCAACCCCATTCTGCTGTGGAGAGGCCGGGAGCGTGAACGTCTGGCGGATGCCGTGCTCCTCACAGTAGGCTCGCAAGAGGTGAGAGGAGAACTCACCACCTCTGTCAGAGTGCAGACGCAGGACTGGAAAGTCCGACTCGAACCGCTTGCGGAGCTGGAGACGAACAGCGCGGATCCAAGGGATCAAAACAGCAGGGACATCCCCCTTGCGCTGCAAGGGGAAGACCGTGCTGTAACGCGTGTAATCATCGACTACCAGCAAGAAGTACCGCTCGTGACCCTGTCCACGGACGCGGGCTGGGCCCCACACGTCCAGGTGGAGAGTCTGCAGTGGAGCCTCTGTGGGAGGGAACGAGGAGGAGTGAGGAGCGGCGCGCTGCCACCCCTCGATGTAAGGAATGCAGGGCGGCGCAGGCAAGGGAGGGAGGGAGGGCAGAGACCTGGGAAAACCAGAGACCATAAGGCGAGAGTGCATGCCACGAAGGCGAGGCAAGGAGGGGTGATCAAGGCGGTGGTGCCAAAGGAGAGTCTGGTGCGATAGGCGGCGACACTCACACTGGATAGCTACCTGAGCGGACACGTACAACTAAGGAGACAAAGGGGTGGAGTGCGACGCAGTGGTGAGGGTGTACGGACTGGACCCAGGCGCACGTGTGAACGTGGCCAGGTGGCGGCCTGTCCGAGAGCACGTGCAGATCGCCACACGCTGTCCTCCAGGAGTAAAGGTGTCAACCCAATGATCCTGAAGGACGGCGTTGCTCACCAGGTTCGTAGAGAACGAGGGGAGGTGGAGACTAGACAGCTCACCAGACGGGACCGCCGGGCACGGGAGCACAGTAGTAGACCGTGCAAGCACTGGGCCCCCAGAGGGGTCAGCCAGTGAGATTGGGACAGGTGCAGGGAGGGGAGCGACTGTGGTACTGTCGCGAAAGAAACAGCGGGAAGCACCAAAGTCAAGTGTAAAGGTGTGCAAGGCCTGAGCCGACGCAGTACGAGGGAGAACAGACTCACAAGCACCAAGGGCTGCAGGCTCTATACCTGGGGCTATACCTGGGTCAGGCGGTACACACAAGTAGCAGTCACCCTCAGCACTAACAGTCAATGCATACATGGCAGCAAGAATAGCATCATAGTCAAGATCAAAGACGAGAACATCACGCCTAAGCAGATCAACCGAAGGGGGAAACTCAGTAGCCTCGGGACACTTGACGCGCCAGGCGTCGCTGAGCCAAGAGAAGTAGCGGTACTCCGTGTGAAAGCCGTTGCATGGGCGACCAGCGCGGGGACCTGTGCGAATGGTACAGGTGCAGCGAACAGGACCCCCAGACGCCCCACGCTGAGCGTATCAGTCATGAAGCTGCTAAGGCGTGGGGGTCTGACGCTGACGCTGCTACTGCTGCTGCTGCTGCTGCTGCTGCTGCTGCTGCTGCTGTCCCTGACCACCACTGGAGCTCCCCTTCTGGCCGGCTCCACTCCAGCTCCCACCACCGCTACCACCACCGCTCCCTCCTCCCCCACTCCCGCCGCTGCCACCTCCACTGCCCCCGGTACCCCCGCCGCCACCACCACCACCTCCACCCCCACGACCACCTCCACCACCCCCGCCGCCTCCACCACCGCCCCCTCCACCACCACCTCCGCCTCCCCTGCCACCCCTACTACCTCTGGCGCTGCGGCGCTTCCCACTAGGAGCAGAAGCAGCCCCGACCTCCTCAGCACCAAGGTAGTCGAGAGCAGCTGCAGCAGAGGCGTAGGAGGGGGCAAGAGGGGAGGGGGGGCACCCCTCGAAAAGGGGAGTGCGAGGAGTGCCACGAGCAGCACCTACAGCGAGAATGTTCTTTTCAGCTGCTAGGAGGTGCGTCTCGAAGTCGGCGACAGTGATAGTGGTCGGGTCTAGGGCGAGAAAGTGGTCCATGACTGAGTGAAGAGTGTCAGGGAGGCGGGTGATGAGGAAGTAGAGAGTAAAGTACATCGGAGGGTGATTCTTGGCGAGGAACTCGTCTGAAAGGGCGGCACGAAAGCGAGCGACACTAGCGCGGAGGTGAGAGATGAGGTCCTCAGCGGTGGTAAACGAGGACAGGTCGGGGAACAGGTAGGGTAGCATGAGACGGCCTACGGCTGCAGTGGCTGGGGAAGAGTAGCGGGCAACTACAGCCTCATACAGTGCCTTAGCAGTCTTGTGCTGACTAAAGTGTGCGCGCTCAGTGATCGGCAGGTGGTTGCGAATAGCGAGGCGCGCAGCTGCATCACGAGTCTGCCACTGTGAGCGGTCAAGAGCGGCAGCAGTGTCAGCAGGAGCAACGGCAGTGCCAGTCACGTAATCGAACAGTGAAACTCCGTCTTTGGCATCAGTCAGAAGAAACAGTTGTAGGTCGTCGAGCCAAGTGGCAAACTCTATCGGGCGACCGTCACGATCGAAAGCGAGGACATTGAGAGTCGCCATGAGTGCATCGCAGGTGAGAGTAGCGCGTAGGCGGCAAGGCAAAGCACAGACAGGAGAAACTGCGCACAGGGCGGCAGTGGCGGCGCACAAGCTGCTGGGGCGGCACGCACGTGGCAAGGGCGGTGCTCAGGGCAGCGACGAGGCGCGCGCATGCTGCTGAAGCGGCGCGCGGGCGGGTAAGGCAGCGTGCGGCAGAAGCGGGCCGCGATAGGGCGGCGGACGCGGCGTGCTGGGCTGCAGCGGGCGGCGGACGCGGCGCGCTGGGCTGCAGCAGGCGGCGGACGCGGCGCGCGGGGCAGCAGCAAGCCGCGCGCGGGCTCCTAAGGCGGCGCGCGGGGCAGCAGCGGGTCGCGCGCGGTTTCCTAAGGCGGCGCGCGGGACAGGAGCAGGCGGCGCGCTCGGGACTAGGGCAGCTCGTGCAGGCAAGGCAGAGGCACGCGTGGGCAGCGCAGCGCAGGCAAGGTAGGGCGCGCGCGGGCAGCGCAGCGCAGGCACGACGTGGGGCAGCTCAATAACCGCAACGGTAGGTGGGCCCTAAAAAATCGGTCCTACGGACCTACTGCTCTGAATACCATGTCAGAATGCTAGGCAGAAATGAATGAACTAGGAAAGTGTTTGGTACAAATATGAAACCCTTAAGGGATTGTACCCCATACTGGCTACCCCACTACAGCCTAAACATATATAGCATATATATAATTTGACACACATGAGCACACAGCTGGGCGGTGATGGGGGTCTCTTGATACTGCCACGCTGGTGCTCACCTCTCTGTGGGGCACTGTGGGACAAATGAATCATCTTGCGATTTGTGAATGGATGGTGTGAGTGTTAGCATGGGTGTGGAGGATTGTATACGGTCAGTGGACGGTTTGTGTTATGGGATAGGAAGGTGTCAGTGAGGGTATGGGATGGTGTGAGTAATTACATGGGATAATATGTGTGAGTGATTGCATGGGATATTATGTGTGATGGGATGGGAAAAAATATGTGATTGCATGGATTGGTGTGCGAGTGGTATGGTATGAGTCATGTGTGGTGGTATGGGATGATCTGTGATTGTATGGGACAGTGAGTTGGATGGCATGGGATGGCATGTGTGTGGGATATGGTATGGAATGGCGGTGGGTGAGAGTAATATGGCATGAAATTGGCTGTGTGATGGCATTGGATGGTGTGTGAGTGAGTTCGCATGGATTGGGTTGTGTGATGGTATGGAATGGCGTGTGAGTGAAATGGCATGAAATGGGCTGTGTGATGGCATGGTTTGGATGGTGTTTTCTGATTGAGATGGCATGAAATCGGCTGTGAGATAGTATGGGATGGTGTTTGAGAGTATATGGCATGGAGTCTGCTGTGTGATAGCAAGGGGTGAGTTCTGTGAATGAGATGGCCTGATACGGTGTGTGAAGGTATGGGATGGTGAGTGTGAGTGAAATGGCATGTAATCGGATGTGTGGTGGTATGGGATGGTGTGTGAGTGAGAGGGCCCGATTTGGCCTTTGAGATGAGATGGGATGGTTTGTGCAAGTGGGATGGTTTATGTGGGCAGTGTGATGACATGGGATGGCGTGTGTAAGGCAAACTACTGGTTAGCGGTGGTTGTGTGGCAGAATCAGGTTTGTCATGTGAAACCCTCAGGTCTAATTGGTGCCATGACTAAGAATTCCAAAAGTCACCTTACTATGTGTGAATATTACAGCATGAAATGGGATGTATGATTACATGGGATGATGTGTGGATGAGATGGCCTGATGTGGGATGGTATGGGATTGTGTGTGAGCCTGAGATGGCATAAAATCGACTTTCTGAAGGTATGGGATGATGTTTTTGTGAGATGGCATGCAATGCGCTGTATGATTGCACGGGATGGAGTGTGTGAGCGGGATGCATGAAATTGGCTGGGTGATGGCATAGGATGGTGAGGGAGCCTCCCTCCATCCCCGCCGAGATTTCCACGGCGTCCACGGACTTTTTTGTTCCTTTCTCTCCGCCCGTTCCTCCCCTTGAGCGACAAACGCGCTCAAACCTTCTTCTCTATCTCGTCTTTTCCCTCTTTCCGCCCTTTCCGCTTCTTCCGTTCCGTCCGCCCGTCCTGACTCCTGCACTCCCGTCGTCGTTCGCTCACCTCGTCGCGCGCTCACCCTAATTTCAAGCCTGCGAGTCGGTTGGGGCGATCTGATTGGGCGAGGGCTACAGGCTCGGACGCGATCACGTTGGACATGACGGCCACTCGCCGGCTGGGAGACGGCCAATGGTGAGGGCTGCGTGGGAGTTCGCATGTCCCGCCAGCATGAAACGGCGAGAATGCAGCGTGACAGTCGCATTTCGAGAGTGAACCTCCTAAAAGGTTGTCTTGAGATCGCTTGTACGATTAGTTCAATTCCTACTCGTAATCAAGGCTCGGAATTCTCTCCTGTGCTCGCAATCGCTTCTGCGCTCACAATCGCTTCTGCGCTTGTAGTTTCTTTCGCGCTCGTAATCGCTTATGCTCTCGTAATCTCTGGCGCGCTGCGCGCTCGTGATCGCCTTCACGCTCGTGATCGCCTGCCCGCTCGTGATCGCCTCCACGCTCGTAGTCGCCCGTGCGCTCGTAATCGCGTGCGGGCTTTTTATGTCATGGTGCTCGTGACTGCTAGTGATTCACCTTCATATCAAGATGGGCTGCTCGGGGCCCTACGTGATCACGCCTGGCTGCCGTTGAAACACACTGCACCGCGATCAACACTCTTATTGCCGCTTCGTACCGGACAGACCTACCTCCGTCAACAATACATTTCAAAATCCGTGTATCCAATCTGGCATAGGGAATTTCAATGAATATTGCATTTTGAAATGAATTCCCACCCAGACGATAAGACGACTGCATATAAAGAGGACAACACAAGAGTTGCTGGCATAGGGACTCCCACTTTCCCCCTCGATTCTCCGCAGCACACAGCAGGCAATCCCAATGCCTGAATCTGATCCAAATCAGCTCAGTAGCACAGCACGGCCCAAACCCTTCTGCCTCACACACCATGCTACGAGAGGAAACCGATAGACCCGTCGCGTTATCGTTGTGCGAAGTTTTTTTTACCGAAAATCGTATCCATACGGTTTGTTGTAACAAAGCTCGTAGGAACGGCTAGGGAAGAAATCGAGAACAAAAATGATGGCGGGAAACTGGTGAGGCGACTCGAGGGACTCAAGGATCTGAAACCCACCGACACCGACAGGCTCTCCCCGAACCTCCCACCCCCGATTATTATGCCTGACGCGACGCCATCGAGATCCCGAACCTGAACCCCAGCAAAATACGCCTTGAGATCCGTCCGCACACCTTGTTGCTTCATCTCCCACCGTTCGATTTCCGACACGTGGCATGCGTACGAGTAGACAGCAAAGCAGGCCGAGGCTGGAACTCCGACGTTCAGGCAGACAAGGCATGTGGGGGTGGAGACGGGGGGGGTTCGAGCAGGCGAGGGCGGCGTGCAGTAGAAATGGGGTCGTCAGGGTTGGAACTTTTCATTCCCACTTCCTCTGCCGTTCTGTCGATCTGCAGTGAAAAAACTTCCGAAAATCAGTCTCTGTCCAACGATCAGTTTCTGTTTCAGTCACGTAACATGGCCTCTCTCGCTGATATCTGCGCTGTTAACTCGGTTTCCCACTCGGCGAGCAGTCCTGTAACGCCTACCAGAGGCATTGGCAGGTTCGGAACCCCGCGAACCGTTTTCTCGCCTGTAAGATCCTCTCCTGTCAAGCCTGCTGCTTGCAAAGGTGACGGTGAGACATGCTGCAGCAGCGTGCTTCTGAAGAGCGTGAGGCCGCTGCTGGAGAAACTGGCCTCCCAAGGCGTCGCTGACGGGCAGCACAAGCCCACCAAGGTGCACGTTGTCCCTGACGCGCCTGATGTGAAGCGGCCTGGAATCGGCCGCTTCGGAGGCAAGCCTGCTGCTGCCGTGCTCGCACCTGCACCTGTGCTCGTCACTGCTGCTCCACTCCAACCATCTGCTGCTGCTGCAGTCACACCATCTGCTGCGGTTGCGCCTGTGGTGGTGCCTGAGGTAGCGCCTGTGGCAACCAGTGGCTTCAACCACACCACAGGTGCCTGAAGCGTCTGTGACCACAGAAAAAAGGTCTGAGGAGGCGAGTGCACGTGCTGCTGATCCGAGTGAGAAAGCGAGGTGGTCGAAGCTGCGTCAGGAGGTTCGAGCAATGGATATTGCAATGACACGTGCTCAAGCATGGAGGGCCATGGAGATTGAAGCGGCCATTGAAGCCGCCCTGCGTGTCTGCTTCTTGCCCAAGCATCCTGATGCTGTGGCGAATCTGACTCGCAAAACCGTGCCTCCTGCATCTGCAGCAGCAGCGACTGTAGCAGCAGCACATGCTCCCTCTGCAGTATCTGCAGCAGCAAAAACAACAGCAGTGAGAGGAGCTGCAGCAATACTACAGAAGCCAATGCGTACCCCATGTGCAGCAGCACCAGTAGCAGCTGCAGCAACAACATCAATGCATTCACCTGCTTTGGCATCACCAGTCAGAGGAGCTGCAGCAGCAGCACAGGTTTCAAGACCTGCTGTTTCAGCGAAGTGCAAGGTGGGGGTTGAAAGTGCATGGGGTAAAAATGGGTGCAGCCGCAAGGCGAGGCCAGCAGTGATAGCAGCTGGCAATGGCAAGGCCAGCAGCAGGCAGGCGGGTGTGGTGAAGAGGAGAGAGGAGGGTGGGTGTGGGGAGGGAGCAGCAGGGAGGGCAGCAGGTGGAAGGCAGGGTGGTGTGAAGGCAGCAGGTGGCAGAGCAGTGGCAAGTGGCGTGTGTGGCAGGGAGGGGGTGAAGCAGCAGGCGGGGAGGAGAGAGGGTTTGGTGCATGAGAGGCAGGCGAGGCCAGGCTGCAGCAGCAGCAGGGCGCACAGAAGGAGCTCCTGAAAAAGCCCTCACTGCAATGGCTGCTCTCAGCATGAGAGCATCCCATAGGAATATGGGCTGTATATACATGGGTACAACAGTGAAGGGTGCGG